TAGCTCGAGGGTCATATTGCATTAACCCAAACTACCCACTAATGAGCCCAAATGGGATGGATATTATGTACAATGTGTGTGTGTGTGTGTGTGTGTGTGTGTGTGTGTGTGTGTGGACCAAGCCAGGAAATTTAGACAATGGAGTTTTTCTTTGAATGGTGATAAACTCTTCTCCTACTATATTCAGTCTGTCTTCCGTCCCCTGTCTGCCTGTCTCGTCCTATCCATCTCATTGGTTTCGTCAACAGGAGCCAAGAGACATCTTGATACTGGTTGGGGAATGAAACAACTTGTCACGAGAGGGAGAGGGGGGGGAGAGCGGGGGGGGAGGGGAGACAGAGAGGGAGGGAGGGAGAGAGAGAGGGGGGGTGAAAGGCAATCCGATATAGAAGTTACACAGAATGAAAAGGTTAAGTGAGAGAAAAGGAGACAGCTGGTGGTAACGACACACACACACACACACACACACACACACACACACACACACACGTATAATCAGCAGGTGTCATAATCAAACATCCTGGGGTAAACCTCGATACTCAAACCTCCGTAAAGACACAAATTTCACCTCAACTAATACACACGTCGAGTCAAAATGGCGTCAAAATATCACTGAGCCTTGGGTATTAAGATCGTCAATAAGTGAAATTATTACCTCGTTAAATCCTTGATCCTTATAGCATCTTACGCTAATATTTCTTTCCTTTGTAATGCTGATACGAGATTTATTTCACTTTAGTTATGTCGCTAAAGATGGAGGTCCAAAATGGCGTTGATCCTATGATGAGACTTACTGGGAATGGATATGTTTTGTCCTGATAAAGAGTAAAGTGTAAGTGTAAAGTGTAAAGTGTAAGTGTTGTTTATTGTTGTTGTTGTTATAAGTATCACCACCATCATCATCATCATCGTCATCATCATCATTATACGAATATTTCAAGCCTCCTGTACCCCTGGGGCAAGATGAGGGCCAAAAATACTTCTTGTTCTGAATAATTAATGACGGAACCCCAGGAGCGCTTGGCCACACGAGATCCAGCGATACCTTAACATGTACCTGTGGCCTGGTGCACCCTAGGTAGAGAACACAACGTCTTGGTGCACCTGAGGTAGAGAACACAGCGTCTTGGTGCACCTGAGGTAGAGAACACAGCGTCTTGGTGCACCTGAGGTAGAGAACACATCGTCTTGGTGCACCTGAGGTAGAGAACACAACGTCTTGGTGCACCTGAGGTAGAGAACACAGCGTCTTGGTGCACCTGAGGTAGAGAACACATCGTCTTGGTGCACCCTAGGTAGAGAACACAACGTCTTGGTGCACCTGAGGTAGAGAACACAGCGTCTTGGTGCACTTGAGGTAGAGAATACAGCGTCTTGGTGCACCTGAGGTAGAGAACACAGCGTCTTGCACCTGAGGTAGAGAACACAGCGGCCTTGGTGCACCTGAGGTAGAGAACACAACGTCTTGGTGCACCTGAGGTAGAGAACACAGCGTCTGGTGCACCTGAGTGTAGAGAACACAGCGTCTTGGTGCACCTGAGGTAGAGAACACAGTCTTGGTGCATCTGAGGTAGAGAACACACATGGTCTTGGTGCACCTGAGGTAGAGAACACAGCGTCTTGGTGCATCAGGGTATACATTTATCTCCCCTGCGTCACCAGATTCTGCAGAGATGGTTGCTAATGATGTGTACAGAGTTCTGGTTTATGTGGGTATGTGGGACGTGTACGTGTGTGTGTGTGTGTGTGTGTGTGTGTGGGAATATGTGTGCGTGATTAGGTATATGTATGTGTGTGTGTGTGTGTGTGTTTGGGAATATGTGTGTGTGATTAGGTATATATACATGTGTGGGGGTGAGTGTGTGTGTGTGTGTGTGTGTGTGTGTGTGTGTGTACATATGTATATGTCTTCGTGTACATTGCATAAGCACAGTATACTGATAAGAGATATATTTCACACACACACACACAGACACACACACACACACACACACAGACACACACACACACACATTCTATTTACAATTCTGTCACCTCTCCATCTGTCTCTCTCAGTGGAAGGTCTCTCTCTCTCTCTCTCAGTTGTTAAGAAATATGTATTGGTTGACTGCTTAAGGATGTTAGAGTTTTTGTAAGGAAATTTATGCTTCTGTGAGACCAGACGGTGATATGAATGAGAGGGTTGGGATAATTGTGGGAGTAGTGTTGGTGTTGTGTCTCCCTGGGTGTTTGGTGTTTTAAGAGAGAGAGAGAGAGAGAGAGAGAGGAGGAGAGAGAGAGAGAGAGGGGTTAGGGAATGTGTGTGTGTGTGTGTGTGTGTGTGTGTGTGTGTGTGTGTGTGTGTGTGTGTGTGTGTGTGTGTGTGTGTGTGTGTGTGTGTGTGTGTGTGTGTGTGTGTGTTCTCCATATTTATATTCAAAGTAGCCAGGGCAGAACAAGGCCAAGAATGTCAGAACATAACACAGTACAAGTATACTGATGCGCTTGATGACAGTAACACATGAGGTGACAACGAGACACTATAGTAGGTGGGAGCGAGACGTGAGGTGACAACGAGACACTAGCGAGACGTGAGGTGACAACGAGACACTAGTGAGACGTGAGGTGACAACGAGACACTAGTGAGACGTGAGGTGACAACGAGACACTAGATGGTAGCGAGACGTGAGGTGACAGCGAGACACAAGATGGTAGTGAGAAGTGAGGTGACAGCGAGATTGGTGACTGTCATTAAGGCATAAACAGTGTGTGTGCCTAGAATTTATACCCCAGATAACGAGAGGTGAAGGGAGGAAAGTCCCCTGTTGATGGTTAGTTACGGGGAAAAGACTAACAAGAATGAAAATAATAATTCTACTACTACTACTACCAATAATAATAATAGTATTCCTAACAATAGTAATAAGATTTAATACAAATAATGATAGTTAAAATGAAACTACGCCCAGAGTGACGTCGGTATACAAGAGCCACGTGTGTTGTGCGTATTGTTACCACCATCTGGCGTCACCTGCGTAGCCTCACTCTTTCTCTACGCCAGCTACGCCCTCGTGGTGCTGATGCTTTTAGGACCAGGTGAGAAGGTCTTTAATATATTGACTTAGAAGGGGTGTTAGTCTTGATTTTATTGAGGTATTTGTATTTTTCTTTGTTATCAATCTATTCCATTTTTTCTTCTTTCTTGATTCTTATTCTTGTATTGATTTTTATCTTTATTTTCTTCTATTATTTATTGTGTATCTTACTACCTTAGTTATCACCCCTGTCACAGTCTCTTCGTTCTCTCAGCTAATCACTGCGTATCCTCCACAATTTATATTCCTCCATGTCTCAGCGTCCATTGCTCTTGACTCCTTATTTCTTTCCTCCATGTCTCAGCATCCATTGCTCTTGACTCCTTATTTGCTTCCTCCTATGTCTTACCCTCCCATTCCTCATGCACGTCATTTGCTTCCTCCATAAATATTCCCCCATATTTCTCGCCTCTTGCCTTCACCACCACTTTTGTTCCCTCCATGATAATCCCGTTTTCTGTTGTCCGTCTGCTTGATGGATGACTATTCAGTTCTTAAAGCCGGGCGCCCACGTCTTTTTTTTTTTATCCTATGACATCAGGTCGCCCACACCGCCCATATAGGTAGACGAGTGTATGGGAGCACCCGTCAGGTTGCACAGACACACATAAGCCACAGTAGGTGATGGGAGTGGGGGGAGGGGGAGCTGCCATAAACCTGAACGTGAACACCGCGGCGAGAAGATTAACATATATCTTTCAGGTTGTTGTTTTTACCCCTGGAGAAATGGTTGATGTGGGGAGCTGATTCTAACACGATCGTATGTTTATTTTTATCCCTCGTAAGTGCTGATTGAAGGACGTGTTTAACTGGATGGCTGTGTCGAAAGCCTGTGGGTCAATTTTCTTTTTCGTTTTGGGAGGATTTAAAATTAATATTCATAATAGTACTGTACGTTAATATTCATCTTGTAACTGATGAAAATAGAGACAAGGAGATCTTAAGAGACAGAGAGAACTTAAGATTTGAGATACTGATGGTCACTTTACACGTCTGGCAGCCACAGTATAATATTGGGAGTTCCGTTTTGACACTTTTACAAGATTCGTGATAATTGTGTTTTTATGGGTTAATTCCTCCAGGGTAGGGGGGGGGGGGGCATTATAATATCAATTCCATTTTCATAAACTAAACTTGGATAAAATTAGTTTCTTCATCTCGTATACCTCAAGATAAAATAATAATAATAATAGTTGAATATTTTCTTTTAAATTTACTTCACTTGTGATATTTTTTCCCCAGGAGCATTTATTTATGAAAGGTGTCTAATTTCTTCCTATCTTTAAATCGATTTTTTTCCTACCATGAAGACCTGACCATTACATTCTAAAGGTACAGGTTTAAACATTTATATCGTCCAGTATAATAACAGTATATATGAAATTCCACGTTATATAGCTGCTAGCCACCCACAGCAGGGCACACCAAATGAAGCTTAGGTGAAGGAACTGATTCACTTACACTATACTGGCTTATGACTGTTCCTGTGTGCACATTTTGGTGTTCTCGTGTGTGTACTTTTTGGTGTTCACGTATGTACATTTTGATATTCTCGTGTGTACGTTTTGGTATTCTTGTGTGTGTATTTTGATGTTCATGTGTGTACATTTTGGTGAAGCCCCCCTTTAACGGACTATACGCAGAGAAAAGTTCGTTATATCGAGGGTTTATTAGCTACGAAACCTCCATCTAATGAGCTATATAGATAAGAAAGTCCGTTATATCAAGGATCTGTTTGAAGTGAAACCTCCATATAACGGATTGTATGGAGAGAGAAGTCCGCTATAAAGAGTTTTCGTTGTATGTTTGTTCATTTATTTTTATTCATATGTATTTTGTATTATGTTAATTACTGTTTTTTTCTTTATTAACCAGAATTATCCTTACTTATTGCCCTCTTCCTTTACCTCCTTCAGGACATGAGCCGTCGCAGGCGTCCGTGATGGTGGGCGTCCTCGGCGGTGCTAGTGGTGGTGCAGGTGGTGGTGGAGGCGTGGGCGTGGGTGTTGGTGTGGGCGTGGCTGGTGATGTTATCGGTGGGGGCGAGGGTGAGGACTTGCGACGGGCGGCGGCTCAGGGTAACACCAAGAAACTCCTGACGCTTCTTGAGGAAGGCGCCGCCGTCAACCTTACCGATGAGGTGAGTCTTGTCAGGGTTTTTTTTTCATGTCTTTCTCACGTCTCTAACTTGTTCTAGACACATTCCTTACACGTCTGGACTTGTTCTCGACACATCCCTTAAACTTCTGACTTGATCCTACGCATCTCGACTTATTCTCGACATGTCCCTAACAGATATTGATCTGTTTTGACACATCACTAGGTACCTGGAGTCGTCTTTAGCATGGACTCATTCTTTAAACACCTGAAACTTGTTACAGACATGTCCCAACTCGTCATGACACATCCATGACTTGTGTTGATTCATCGGTGCCCTTAGATGTCTGACTGGACATGAACACGTTTCTGTACATCTCGACCTCTTATTGACCTGTTTTGACCATGTTATCTAGAGCCTTTGCACGTCTTACCTGTTTCTGGGATTTACTCATTACGGACACGGAACCTAACCTAACCTAACCTAACCTAACCTAACCTAACCTAACCTAACCTAACCTACCTAACCCCACACAACACAATTTAACTAAGCCTAAATTAAACTTAACCTAACCTAAAACATCCCAAACCAGCCCAAGCTAACCTTAATCTAACCATACATATCCCCTAACTGTACAGTGGTAACCTCTGGGCAACATTTATCATTGTAAATATAGTGGAGGGCGTCAAAACTTTGGATCTACAGTCAAGAAGAAAAATCTCATATATTCTGTCCAGTTATTTGCAGTTTTACACGTCTGTTACCAGTTACATACTTTTTTACATATACTCGTGGACAGGACGAGTGTATTTGCCTCAGTGAGAAGGCTGGCTCTCTCTCTGGGCACACGTCATGTACACGACAGTTGTATCAATTTATTACTTATTTTCATTAATTTCTCTCTTAATAAGAATCCCAAATAATTCACAATTTTCTAATAAACCCTCCATAACGTAACTAAACCTTATAATAATTCCGGTAATAACCTAACCTAAACTAACCTAATATTAACCTAACTTAACACAATATTTATTAACCTAACCTTATGTAAACAAATTCGCAGTTCAAGCTAAAAAAAAAGAAAAAGAAAAAGAAATAATATAAAGCCAGGTTCTGTTTCCGAGTCCAAAATACAGTTCAGTCCCTTTAAACTTAACCTCTGCATGACGTGTAGACCACTATCTTCATCTCAGTGCCTTGTGCTGTAGTGGTCATCGTCTACTTGGTCATGCACGGTACACTGTTGTTGACTCGAGTAAGGAAGGAGTAGCTTTGTCACAGGTGTTTGCTTTGAGTATGACCTAATTGGTTGCTTGAGTTGTGATCTTTCGTTGTTTTAGTGTGATCTTTCTTCGTTGCTTTAGTGTGATCTTATTCTTCGTTGCTGGAGTGTTATCTCATCTCTTTACTTGAAGTATAATTATTTTTTTCCTTTCTCGCATGGTAGGAAAATAAATCTAAAGTGAAAACAGCTTTGGAGATAATTGTGTATATTTGTTGTAGCTCTCTCTCTCTCTCTCTCTTACAGTATCGCCAACATGCTATTGTATTTCTTGTTAATTTGCACGTAACAATGTTTTTCTCCAATTCGTGTGTGTGTGTGTGTGTGTGTGTGTGTGTGTGTGTGTGTGTGTGTGTGTGTGTGCTGTAGCCCCCCTCCTGAGTGTCTGTGTGTTGCTCTCTGTGTATATAAACATTGAACTAAGGCGTCGTATTCTCACTCGTGTAAACTCATTGTTTACACTTTCCTTCGCATTGTTTTGTTTACCTGGTGTGTGTGTGTGTGTGTGTGTGTGTGTGTGTGTGTGTGTGTGTGCGTGTGTGAGAGAGAGAGAGAGAGAGACTTGATTTTTACTAGTTACCTGCATTTGAAAGTACTAATATGATACCTGTATCTTGAACTGTTTTTACCTGTACACCTACCTCAGCCTGTAGTTACTTGTACACCATCATTAACCTGTAGGCCTACCTCAACCTGTAAATACTTTATAGTACTTTTGCTATTTGATTATTTGGCAACTTTAACAAATTTAACCTCCTAATTAACTATTTTCTTAAACTTACAAATTATAACCCACTTTTTAACATAATTTTAAGTATATGTTAAATAATTAAAAAAATATATATTATGGTGTTATGGAGGTAAATAATTCCTCGTAATTATCTTTGTAATATATGATTTTGTTACATTTCTTAATGTTACTAACAATAATTAATTTGTTTCATAATTAATTGTTACTTAGAATAATTACTTATATTCATTTGTAAATAATCCTCTCATTGTGATTTTGTTTACGTAAAGTACTTTGTAAATATCTTATGCCATAGATAACCTTGAATGTGTGTTAAGTGTCGTTTTGAAGTTACTTATTGTGTAAAAAGTATATTGTTGTTACCTTCTCTTGATTGATTTCTTTTTTAAGTGTTAAGTAGACTTATTAAAGTGTGTGTATGACTTAAAACATAGTGGTTTAAGAGGACAAATTTTGTTTTATTTATTTTGACTGTACTCTTGATCAGCTGTTTCCTCTTACCTCAGCCCCTACCTATTTACCTATCAACGCCCATCAGCTGTTTCCTCTTACCTCAGCCCCTACCTATCTACCTATCAACGCCCATCAGCTGTTTCCTCTTACCTCAGCCCTACCTATCTACCTATATCAACGCCCATCAGCTGTTTCCTCTTACCTCAGCCCCTACTATCTACCTATCAACGCCCATCAACTGTTTCCTCTTACCTCAGCCCTACCTATCTACCTATCCTTTGCCATCAACTGTTTCCTCTTACCTCAGCCCTACCTATCTACCTATATCAACATATCAGCTGTTTCCTCTTACCTCAACCCCTACCTATCTGCCTATCAACGCCCATCAACTGTTTTCTTACCTCAGCCCCTACCTATCTACCTATCAACGCCCATCAACTGTTTCCTCTTACCTCAGCCCTTACTATCTACCTATCAACGCCCATCAACTGTTTCCCCACTCTTACCTCAGCCCTACCTATCTACCTATCAACGCCCATCAGCTGTTTCCTCCTACCTCACCCATTACCTTTCCTCATCAGCTGTTTTCATACCTCCACCTTTCATATTTTTCCTTCTCTGTTCAGCTGTTTCTTCCTCCCTCATCTTTACTTATCTATCCTACCCTAACCATCATCATCATCATCATCATCATCATCATCATCATCATCATCATCATCATCATCATCACCACCACCACCACCCACCACTACTACCCTACCACCACCACCACCACTACTACCCACCACCACCACCACCACCTACTGCCACTACCACCACTACCTACTACCACTACCACCACCACTACTACCTACCACTACTACCACTACCACCACCACCACCACACCTACCACTACCACCACCACCACCACACTACTACCACTACCACCACCACCATTCCCTACTACCTACCACCACTACCACTACCACCACCACCACTACCACTACCACTTCTACCACCACTACCACCACCACCACTACCACCACTAACACAATTTCCTTTCAGTCTCCACCATTATCATCTACTGTATATTCACATCTGTCTGTCAGGCCATTGATTCTCTCTCTCTCTCTCTCTCTCTCTCTCTCTCTCTCTCTCTCTCTCTCTCTCTCTCTCTCTCTCTCTCTCTCTCTCTCTGTTTTTTGAGAAACAGAGAGAGAGAGAGAGAGAGAGAGAGAGACCCAGAAAATGAGAAATAAGAGAGAAAAAGAGAACATTCTCCTCTAATTAAATCCTCCCTTATGTCTCACTTTCCTCCTCTCCTTCCCTTCTCCCACCCTCTCCTTTCCACATTCCCCCATTTCTCTCTCCTTTACCCACTTCCTCCTCCCTTTCCTCATTCTCCCCTCCCCTCCTCCCCTCCCCTCCTCCCTTTCTTCACCCCCTTTCCCTCTTCACTCCCCTCAACGCCCTGTTTCCCGTTGTTCTAACCATCTCTTTCCTGACCAGCTTCCGTTGGTGTGTGGCTTCCCGTCACCGTTCTACATTTTCGTTGCTCCTGGTGTGTGTGTGTGTGTGTGTGTGTGTGTAACGTGTGTGTGTGTGTGTGTGTGTGTGTGTGTGTGTGTGCGTATGTGTGTGTGTATGTGTGTTCGGCTTTTCGTGGCATTTTCTATGTCCTTTCTTTCATGTTTTTTTTGGTAGTAATTATCGCTTATTTCTAAATTCTCTTTTAATCTCTTTTTTTTTTAATTATTTATAGTAGTTATCTTTTATTTTTATTCTTCTTTTGTTTCTTGCTCTCTCTCTCTCTCTCTCTCTCTCTCTCTCTCTCTCTCTCTCTCTCTCTCTCTCTCTCTCTCTCTCTCCTGTTTTTTGTCTGTTTCTTCCTCAATATTTCTTTCTGTATTTTTTTCTCTTCCGTTATTCTTGTGTTCCTCTCTATCTCCTTCCTTCTTCTCCTCGTCCTTGTTTTTGTCTTCTTTTTATATCTTGTATTTTTCTCTTGCATTTTTCTTTCATCAATTCTTCCTTGTTTTTCTTGTTCCCTTTCTTTCAATTTATCTTCGGCTGGTTCCTTGTTCTCTTCCTTCTCTTTTTTCTATTTTTTCTTTTCCTTTTTCTCTTTCTTTCATCTTTTGCGTATTTTTGTTTTCCTTATTCTCTTGTCATTCCGTTGGCGCTCGTGTTGCTCACCTGTGCTGGTTAATTACGTGTACGTGTGTGTGTGTGTGGGGGATGGGGTTACCTGAGCATCCGTGTGTGACTGTCCGACGTTCACTCTGTTTTCACTTCCTTCCCTTCCTCCACCACCCTCCATCTCTCCATCCCTCCATCTCTCCCTTCCCTTCTACGGTCACCGCCCACTGCTTTTCCCCCCTACTACTGCTTCATCACCTGCTTCCTCCTGCTGGTATTGGTGATGTCACGCTCTCTGTCCTGCTCACCTGCCGCCTCCTCCTCCTCCTCCCTTTTCCCTTTGTCCCTTTCAATCCCATCTAGCCCCTTTCATCCTTTTTTAACCTTTATCATCCCTTTCAACATCTTCTCCCCCTCAACATCCACTCCTTTTCCCCTTTCCTTTGCCCCTTTTGTTTTTCCGAAACCTCACTAGTCCCTTGATGCACTTTTTTTTTTACTGATTTTTTTCTACCTCCAATCACCCCCATTTCACCCCTCCCTTTCCTCCTCCTCCCTTCCTTCTTTTCCCTTTCCCCCCCCCTTTCTTACTGATTTTGTCAACGTCCAATCACCCTTTCAACCCCCTCCACCCCTTTCCTTTGCCCCCCCCCTTCCTTTTCTGTTTTTCGAAGCCTCTCTAACCCCCGGGTGTCCTTGGCGTCCCTCCTCACAGTGCGGGAGGACAGCGCTTCACTGGGCGTGTACTCGTCGCCAGCCCAACTCCGTGGCCGCCCTCCTGCTCAACGGTGCCAAGGTCAACCTGTCTGATAGTGTAAGTAAGATCTCCCTCACGCTTCCTCCTCTTTCTCTTCCGTTTCCTCTTCCTCCACATCTTCCTCTTCCCTTTTCTCCTCCTTGGGATTCACTTTCTTTCTTGCTTTCTTTTAGTCCCTCTCTTTGTTTTCTCTCTTTCTCGATCTTGTTATCTTTCTATCTACCTATTGGCAGTTATCCTTCTCTTAAGATCAAACTTTCTTAATAATGTCTTATATTTTGGGACATTTTTTTTTATTCAGACTTCAATTGCTTTTCTCTTTATTAACATTTATTTATTTATTCGTTTATTTATTTATCTTTTGCCTTTGACGTCACTTTTGTGTTTTTAAGACTTATTTTGTATCAGGATTTTGTTTTAAGACTTTTTCTGGACAGGTTAATTTTATATTTTTTTTTTTGTCTTTGTAAATTGATTCAGATTTTCTATTATTAGACGGATTTCCTTGTCTTCCCTTGAACTATTTTCTTTAAAGACAGATTTTTACTGATTTTTTCCCTTTTAATATAATTCTTTCTTATAGAGCCAGATTATTTGAACCACGACTCTGATTTTTTGCAATGACAGATTTTTGCATGTTAGACTTTCTTTCTTTCTCTCTCTCTTTCTGTCTAATCTGTGCTGGATTATTTGGACGGATTTTTGAGCATGAATCTATTTTCCCCTAGTCACCGAGTATGTGACTTTGCATCGCCTGAAATCTGAATTGTGAAAGGATTTTGGTGATTTTTTTTTTTTTTATCTCTGTTGTGTGAATTGATTTACTCTCTCTCTCTCTCTCTCTCTCTCTCTCTCTCTCTCTCTCTCTCTCTCTCTCTCTCTCTCACTATAAGGTAAGTTTCATTATTTTTCTCTTATCATTTTATTCTATATTTTATTTACTTCCACATTTATCATATTTCACTATGTACTTTATTATTATATTTGTCGCCTGTGATTCCAAGATAAACTCACATGATTCACTCAATATACAGCGACATTTTCTTGGAGGAGGAGAGAGGGGGGGAGGTGGGTGAGAGTTTGAAAGGGGGAAGGGAAGGGAGAAGGAAGGAGAAAGAAAGAGCGATGGAAGAAAGGGGGAGGGAAAAGGGAGATAGACAAGGGAGAGAGGGAGAGAGAGAGAGATGATTAATATTGGTCATTGATAAGTACAAGTATGAGATAAAGACAGAGAGATAACGGCAGAGAGAGAGAGAGAGAGAGAGAGAGGAGGGCAGATGTATAATGGACGAGCGCGTGTTGCTGCTTCTGTTGTTGATTTATTGACTAGTTATGGTGTGAGTTACGGCCTGAAAGTAGATAACTGGATCCCTGCTGCTGGTCTGCTCAAGGATACGCCTGCTGAGTCTACTGCTGCGTCCTGCTCACCACCTGCTCACACACGCCTCTTGGTATATCCCCTTAGCGACAGTCGTGATGTAAGTTGAAACAATTTATTCAGCCAGATTAGTGATGCTAAGGTGGGCCGTCACGATATGTAAACATTACCCTACATGACCCTACACTGCCCCCTCCCCTTCTACAGGATCACCCCACACTGCTCCTCCCTCTCTAGGATCACCCCTCACTGCCCTCCCCCATGATCACCCTACACTGCCCTCCTCTCTAGAATCACCCCACACTGCTCCCTCCCCCCGTGATCACCCTACACTGCCCCTCCCTCTCTAGAATCACCCCACACTGCTCCCTCCACCCTCCAGGATCACCCCCACACTGCTCTACCCCCGCCCATGATCACCCTACATTGCCCCTCCTCCATGGATCACCCCACACTTCCCCCTTACAAGGTCACCCCCACGCACTACTCCGCACACCCGACCTCCATCAGGCAGTAGGCACGACAAGGGTTTTATGGGGCGTCGTACAAGGGGAGGTTCCTCGTAGGGGACCACTGAACGCTCTTGTATATCGTGTGTGAACGCTGAGGGGCAGGATCGCTCGTTCATATATGGAGCTGAACACGCAGGAGTTTAGATGGATATTGAAGGTAACGTCCTTACCCCCTGGTGTGTTTAGTGGTGTGGTATATAATGTTGTGGTTTGTCTGTTTGTGTTGGTTTGTAGATACGTGAGGTCTTTTTGCCTTAAGGTGGTTAAGGCTCAGAATTTTGTTTTTCATTCCCTAGTATCCATTGATGGTGTTTAGCATCTGTTAAGGCACCCAGCTGCTGAGTTAGTCTGGCAGTGCTTCAACTTACTATTTTCGTGGCTTCGGTCCTTCCTTAGTCAAACTTGTCATGTTCTACCTGGTTCGTTATAATAGGATGAGGATACTAGGAAATTGCAGTTAATAAATCCTAAAAGGTCAGTGGTACGGCTACCAGGTGGGAGAGGTCTGAGAGAACTGCCAGTCGTACCGTCGTTAAGTGTCGTACTGCACCGAGACGACCCAGTCAGCTTGATGGTGAGCACTTCCTCTCATTTCACCTACCTCTATCGACCTCACTACCCCGTCGCCACGATACGCTGCCTCTGTTACTTCCGGCTACCTGCGGAAGTCTGAGCCGGCCAGCCCGCTATCCCGTCATCTGACCATCCGGCACCCCACCCACTCTACCTAGCTCATCTCTCTACCATCCACCCAATCACCCACCCAGCTCATCACCCAACCACTGAGCCCATCACCCAACCACCCAACTCATCACTAAACTAACAGGCCAGTCACCCACTCACCCCACCCAACCACCCACCCACCCTCCCAGGATGTAACGGTGTATGAATTTACTCTGGGATAGTTTCATCTCCTCTCCCTTGATTACAGACTGGGAGGCTTGGCGCGGGGGGGCGGGGGTGGGGGTGGGGGTGGGGGTGGGGGGGGCGGTAGGGGATTGGTCTGGGTTGCAAAAAAAGTGGTTTGGATTGGAAGTTGGGGTTGGGTTGCAAATTTGGGTGATGGTAGATGGGAGGGTATTCGTTCTCTCTCCTTCATTCCCTTTACTTCCTTTCCTCTACCCTTTCTTTCCTTCTTTCAATTCTTCCCATTGTTCTCTTATCGTTCGTTCAATCCCTCCATGCCACTTCTCTTTTTTTTTCAATCCAGCCTTGCTTTTTTCCCTTCTTCATCCTCTACTTCTTTCAATCTTTTCATCCTCCCTTCCATCTCCCTTTCCCTCCCTTCCTTCCATTCCATCCTCCCTCCCAGCATAACTCAGCAGTATAGTAATGACCGGGGCGGCAAGTGTTGAGACCTCAAGGAAATTTACCAAGTTTCCGACGACAAGGTGATGGAGGGAAGGTATGGGAGGGAGAGAGAGGGATGAATGGAATGAGGGAGGGAAAGAAGAAGAGGAGGAGGAAGAGAAGGAAGTAGGGAGGGAGGAAAGGAAACATAAGAGAAAAGGATGATTTATATACCTGAGAACAATGAATAGAAAACACAAGGAAACCAGATTATTTTATTGTTGAAACCATAACCCGAAAATATGGAAGAAATTACCTATGTACCTATGTGATTAAGTATATGACCAGGTCCCCCCCTCCATCCCTCCCCCACAACGTCAGGTGATAGGACAAGCATTGATGGCCTAATTAGGAAGTCACTCCCTGGTGTTAATGTGACACACCTCAGGTATATAAATAGAACCCAGGTCATACTTAAGTTATTCAAGGCACAGGTGAGTGATGGGTGTAACAGGTCTTATGACGGAGGAGGTGAGCGAATGAAACATCATCTACACATGAAAGTAGCGTCTCTTCCTTGTTCACCCCTACACTCACCTCCTACCCTGCACTGAAACACTCAAAACTCACATCCACACACCCTCCACCCACATAGACCCACCTCACACACCCACACACACACCTCACAGTTCCTCGTGTCCGCCCTCGTCGTGGACGGAAAACAGTGAACAGGAAGTAGAGGGAGTGAGCTAAAGAAAGGGAGAGTTTCCATTTGAGTTGTTCCCGAGAGAGAGAGAGAGAGAGAGAGAGAGAGAGAGAGAGAGAGCCTTCATCTTCCTTGCTCGTTTCTTAATATGCGTCTGGGATCATAGTTATTAATTACGTTGGAAATATCTAAATGGAAATTTCTTCACGCCTGAGAGATATTTTTGGCGACGTGTTAGACGGAGAGTAATGTTGGTGGTGTGAGTGTCGGCTTCTGTGTTGGTGGTGGTGATGGCTGTGGTAGTGGTTATAGTGGTGGTGGTGATGATAATAAATGTTGATGGTGAAAATACTGGTGGTGATGGCTGTGGTAGGGGTTGTAGTATTGGTGGTGATGATAATAAATGTTGATGGTGGAAATACTGGGAATGGTGATGAATGCTAATGGTGATATTGGTGTCGCTGGTGATAGTGTTGAGAGATACTTGAGTACCTCACCTATGCATAACACCTGCACCCCATGACACTACTAATAAACTTGCCTCTCACACCTGTATGATAAAATCCATACGCCGAGTGCATGGATGATAAGTCTTATAGTGTAAGTATTATTGTTATACTCCAAGGTTCGTATTGCAATTTAATATTAGAATGTATTAATATACCATAAACTTGCAAGCCATAATTACAAAGGAATATTATATGAGTGTATTATTATTATTATTGCTATTATTATTATTATTATTATTATTATTATTATTATTATTATTATTATTATTATTATTATTATTATTATCAAAGTCATCAAAGTTATTATCAATCCTGTAAATTAGTCTCATCTTTAATTGAACGTTGTCTGCATTTAATTACAAGACTTTACAGTTAAGTTGCCTGGAGGTGGTTTGTGTGTGTGTGTGTGTGTGTGTGTGTGTGTGTGTGTGTGTGTGTGTGTGTGTGTTGCCACGTCCACCTCACCTTCTTGTGACGTCTGACAGTAGTGGGTCAACCTTGCCTTTGTTTACTCCTGACATCCCTCCCTTCTTCTGTCTCTCTTGTTTCTGGTTCTCTCTTTGTCTATTTTTGTCTCTTTTATTTTTCTCTGTTTGTCTTTTTCAGTCTCCTCTCTGCTATCTCTATTGTACATCTCTCTCTCTCTCTCTCACACACATCATCATC